TTTGGGTGAGGCCAGAATACGTCTCCGGCTCATTTTCTGAAACTGTAAAACCCTTTTGAGAAGCTTGGTTGGAGCTTTCCGTGTCACTGAACTCATCTAATCCAAATCACTGGATTGTTTTCCATTCACTCGGCACCATTCTTAGCAGCACTCAGGAGGACAAAACAAAACTAAGCCGACTAACACAGCTAGGAAGCAAATGAAGCACGCCGCGATGCACCAGGTGGCGCCCATCCCCACCACACATCGGGGTGGTACCCAGAGCCCATCCCCCAGTGGTTCCCTGGGAGAGCCGGCAACCCTGGAAGACCCCCTCCCCACAACCAGGTGTTAGAATACAGCACGGAGCACACTGAGGTCTCAGCGTGATCCCCCTGGGAGAGCTGGATGCGCTTATGAACACCTGAGTCCTCCTGGAGGCGAGGTACCACCACAGCCCGAGAGAAGGGAGCAGGACCAACGCCTCCCAGCACTGACCATTCATGATGGCATCACCAGGCCGAGCTGCAGGTGAGTCCTTTCATTATTTATCTTTCCTCCAAAATAAAGAGTGCCAGGACTAGAAGCTTTCATTAATCCAAGTGGGGGAAAAAAAAAAAAGCTTGAGTTCTATGAGAAATACCTTCAGGACAATGAAACAAAGATTGACTTCCTTCAATTTCCCGTGGCAGGATGATCACCGAGCCTCCATCAGTCCTCAAAACAGGGATAAGTGACGCCTATTACTTTCCTGATAGAATTTTGATTTGTGTCTTCATGGGTAAAAATTAGGTAAATGAATAGGAAGTCTGCCTTCCAATCCTCCAATAAAATAAAACAAAATAGAAGCGGGATTCAATCACCTTCAGGTAGACTGGCCAAAAGGATGGAGTCGTCAGAATGAAGAAGGGCAGCATGAGTTTATAAATTATTCTGCTTTCTGCAGTTGTCACACTTCTGGGGGTTAGTACCTTCTGAACTTGTCTTTGCTCATCACAGGGGCTAAAGCCTCGGTGAAAGCTGGCAGGGTGGGGAGGCCACTTGCTCCAGTAAAAGCTCAGTTTTCCGTAGTGATTTGCTGTGTTTTCTTTCTGGGCCACATACCGACTCACCTGTGTCCCCAAGAAGAGGCAGACTGTTTAACCAGCAGAATAAGCAGGTTTTCCTCCTGTTTTTCTGAATGGGTTGCTATTCTCACAAGCTGAAACAAATGCCACCCAGTTGATCTTAAACGTAACTGCTCATGGAAACAACGGCGGGAGAGGGGATAGTTACAAATACAAATTCCTGCCCTGATCCCGTGATTCTTATCCAGTCGGCCTGCCTGGGGCACAGGAAACTGTTGGGTAAGCACATCTGGTGACCTGAAGTGCTGGTGTCCAGGTAGAGCAAGGTCACTTCCCCACGTCAGCCTCTTAGAGTAGGAAAAAGGAACCGGGAAATCATCTAACTCAGTCTCTTTGTTTTGCAGAGAAGTAACGTTGAATCTGAGAGAGGAAACCTGGTTTGATCAGGCAAGACTGTGACACTGTTAACGCTCAGTGTCTCTGCAGAGAATCACTCGCCTCTGAACTGAATTTAGAATTAGGACTCTGTTTCTGTAAGGCTTAGAAACAAATATCCTTGGAGGGAAAAAAAAAGGGTCATTAGGAGTCATCTATGTAGAAAGAAGCCTTTGTCCGGGAAAGATGACTTTGGAAAAGCAAATGTTAGTGAAAGAGGCTCTGTCAGAGGAAGGCCCCGGGGCAAATCTGGCCCGGAGCACAAGGCCCGAGCTTTGTCCTGCCATCCGCTGTCCGTCTGAATGCCCCTTGCAGGAGCCGGGCTCGATGGCTAATGGATTTTGGACTCCAAATAAAAGACAAACAAAACAAAGGGACTGCAGTCTGAAAGTAATTCTTAAAGAGACAGAGCCCTGTTGGTGTGTCGTCCTCCCCAACAGAGTGTAATTAGGCCGCACGCACTAACGCACTGGGGGGCCACCCCAGAGCCCAGTTCCTGTTGTGATTTCTAGATTGAGGAGGAAGCCTGAGGAACTTAAGGCTACCTCAGTAGCACTACGGAGACCATCAGATCCTAGGGTAATAATTGTGGTGCCCTGGGATAACCGTGATGACATGTACCCCTGTAACTGAGCATCTCCGGGTGTCCTAGGCTCATCCTTCCCCCCAGTTCTTACTGAACCACAGGCTCCAGACGTGGAACAGACCTTTCTGAGCTCCTCGTCCACGGGCCTGTCAGGGAGCGACCCGCAGACTGTGGGCTCGATGGGCACTGACAGAGACCTAGCTAAAGGGGAATATAATTACTTCCATAATTCTGGGCCTTGACACTTTCACTCCACTGACATTGTACCTTGAAACAGGGGCCCCTTGAAGAAGTCTTAGCAAAGCAAAATAGGACAGAATAGGCCTCCCTGGGCACTTATAGACTGGTTGAGATTCTTTGAGTTCACTGCTTTAATCTTTTTAAAATGTCTGCAGGTCCCTGGTCCACGGATTTCTAACCAGCTGGCCCACTACACCGAGCGGGCAAAGCTGAGGCCCCGTGATCTGACTGCAGGTAGTTAGTGACAGAGCTGGACAGGACCCCGGTGTCCAACCAGCATCCTTCCCCGTCAACCTGCACTCTCGATGGCACATCTATTTTCTGCCGACGTTAATTTCAGAATTGTTAGATCTTTCCTGAGTAAACAATAACATCTCATCTTCCCCAAGTTTGCATAGAATCTTCTAGAAGGTTTTAATATACCTCTATAGCAAACACACCTTCACGTGACCCCCAGTGGGTCATGTCCTTATGTTATCTCCTCCCCTCGGGTGTGGGTGGAACCTGTGACCAGCTTGCAGGATGTCCCTCGCTGGGGTAAGTTGCATTGTGTGGGTTAATCCCTCCCGTGGTTATGTTAGGCTATATGAGACTCCCTCCTAGGCAACTGGAATGAAAGGTTCACCTGCTGGTCTAAAGAAGTGAACTTCTGGGCTGTGAGAGAAACACATGGCACAGAACTACCTCAGCTTCCCCGTGCTGAGAGCAGCCAGGCACCAGCCAGCTGAAAACAGGACATCAGTCCTGTAGCCACAAGGACTGCATTCTGCCAACAACCACACAGGCTTGGAGACCCCCAGCTCCTAAGTGGGGTGCAGCTTTTGAGACCCTGAATGGAGGGCCAAGGGGAGCCCTGCACAGACACCTGACCTGCAGGAACTGGGAGAGAATAAATGTAGCCAGTTCTCATTATTCACGATAGTTGTGTTCTGTGATGTCACCTGTGAGAAATGAACTCATGCCTTTGCTCCTGGAGAAACACAGAGGTCAGTTCCTGCCAGACTCTGATCACTACATTTTCATCAACCGATCAACACATCACCTTATTTTACGTGTGTTTCTGTTTAAAGACATTGTATTTAACACACGTATTGACTCATTAACATGGAATTGACAGCCAACAGCACAATCACTCATGCTTGAATGAAACTTATCTCACACATGTATCTTCTCCAGAAGGCCCTTCACAGCCTTCTCGTGCTCAGGACACTGGACAGCACTTCAGCATTCTGCGGGGATGGGGGGGGGCACTTTAAACAGTGAAATTACCAATAAGCACAAAAATGTGAAAAATGTGGCACGAAATAGGCCACAAAGAGGACTCTTGTTTGCAGTGTGAGGGCTGAAACAAGAAGTCAGAGCATCATCTGTTCCACCTCCGCTGGGAACGTGTGCACCCAGCAACGCCAATTTTTACCACTCTGCAGACATTTGCAAATGACTGTGACGGCACTGCAATGATTGATTTTTCGAGATTCCATGTAAATTTTACTTGACTTGTATCAAAATTCTAGCAGATATTGAATCTGCAAATAAAGAGCATAGACTATAGATTTAAGCTGCTAAGTTTGTGGTAACTTGTTACGTGGCAATAGCTAGCTAAGTCCATCTCTAACTTCAGTTACCCCTGCCAGTATGTCCCTTGACATCCCCAACTTCCTTTTCTGCTCACCGTGCTCTGAATGTGACTCTTGTCCTATGTATGTGAGGACATTACATAAATTCTGTTCTTCAGACCTAACCTTTCAGTGGTGTGTTTTATGGACCATTTCCAGAACTCCTCAGCTTTGGAAAAGAATGAGGTGTTGGAAAGGCTTTGATGTACCTCATTCACATATGGTCACTGGAACCGCCTTAGCCTGGCTTAAACACTAGGCTGAATCTTTAGTCTTAAAATCATATGGTTCAAGCCTTCTTCTAATTCTGTAACAAGATTTTTTCCTTTTGTAAGAACCCCCCCTTTCCCCTCCCAGGTCAAAGACTACAAGGGCTCCCTCACCACCCATGCCTCAGTCACGACACGCCAGTCAAGTCCACCAGGGTAGAGAGAAAGTCAGGAGAGTTGTCCAGTTCTCTGGGAGGCCCAGCCCTTGGCTGTTGCTGTGGTCGTCAGCCGGCCATGTGGTTCCTAACTCCCCCAGATCCCTGGCCACCAGCCCTCTCCCCTCTGTTCCTTCTTACTGTGTGTTTTCAGCAAGCTGGATTCACGCCTCAACAGGACGGATGCAGGCTGCCCCTCTCCCATGTCTGGTCCCTCGGTGTAGACATTCCTGTCACTGGACAGGACCTGGGATGTCTGGCAGGCCGGACGTGCCCCTGCCTGGTTCTGCAGAACTGCAGCTCAGGGGCCCCGGAATGCCACACCCCTGTGGCCCAGCCTCAGTTCCCTCTCCGGTGACTCGGCCAGTTGGGTTGACCCACATGCATAGAGCCATTGCTTCTGCCCAGGCTCCTAGGGAGGCTGTGTCCAAAGTGGTTCCTATTTTCAGTTCAGCTTTGTCTGGGAGACCCCCATCTCGCTCCCCATATACCCTCCTTCCCTACCCTTTCCCCAGTCAGTCATCAAACCCAGCCTCCCCTCAAAAAAAAAAAACAAAACACCCAGTCGTACAAATCCAAAAATATTATGAAAAAGGTTCTTGGAGCAGGGCAAACATTTCTACAACAAACTGCACCATGGCAGCACGGGGCTCAGATAATGAAGGGAACAAGGTTACCTTTACAAAAGAGGAAGAAACATCAGATCGTCCGCATGCAATTAGCAGCGTCTCCCGTCCCAAGGGCTGAGGCTGCCTTAGCTGTTTCCCCATGTTGCTGGGTTAATAATTATCACCTGCTTCAGGGCAGCAAAATAGAAGGAGAATTAATGACCTGTTTCATGGTAAGTGCTCCCTGCATCTCAGCACAGACTTACTGAATAGCTTCAAAAAATAAATTACACGGACCTGCTATATGCTTGCAGAATGTAAGGAAGATCCAATAAAGCCATAATTTTCCCTTTTTTTTAAAGCCTCTGCACAAAATATATAGTTTTCCACTTCAGTTGATTTCCCCAGGGTTTCATATTGGTAATGACTGTATTTTTTTTTCTTTTATCGATATCAATTGTTGCCGTGTTCTCAGATCACTGAACATTAACAATGTTCCAATCTCATTTACAGAAAGCTGTAAAAAGTTAAATTTGGAGAATGAGGGACAATACATAAAAAGCATTCTAAAGTGTGTTACCATTTTCACCTAAAGAAATGAAGATAATTGTAATAATTTATAACATAATTCTGCTGAAGATTTCATTATGCTATGACTTTGGGATTTCATCTTTCAGAATTTATAACTGAAATGAATCTTAAAACAATAAAAGGAATCATAGAATAAAAGCAGAAGAAAATTGTTGATGTAAAAAATATATAACCATGGGATCCTTTAGGAAAAAAAAGAACAGGACAACCCATGCACCAGTGATTACTCCCAACTAGATCATTAACTTATTTGCATGTCTTCAAGATGTTATCACCTGCCTGCAATATTCCACCTGGCTTCCTGCTCCAGAATTCTTCCTTTCTCCGTGGGTGAAGTGATTTGACATTATACTCATTTGACTTCTTTACCCTAGACTTCTTAATGGCTACATTCCAAACTATATTAAGAACTGTCACACAATGGCATTCTGAAAAATATCTGAACCACTCATGAAAATAAAAGAGATAAAGTAGCATTCTCCAAAATATTTCTTTCATACTTTACTAATACTTTATTTTCCAAAAAGTATTTGGGACATCTCACTATTATACATATAATGAAATATATGTTTTAAAGTAAGGGAAGAAAATAGAATAATGGGGAAAAAAGATAGAAAAGTAAGACAGTCTGTGCACCTGTGTTAGTCAGCTAGTGCCACAAAAGTGCTGTGTAACAAACAATGACATAACCTCAGTGCCATGCAAGTATAAACATCCTTCTTGCTCAGGTTGTGAGTCAGCCAGGGGTGGCTCTTACTTCAGGCTCTGGTGGGTCTGCTCCAGGTGACTTTCATCCTCCTTCTGGGACCCAGGGCCAGTTGGGGCATATTCTCCGCATTGCAGTGACAGAATCACAGGAAGGCAAGTGGAAACGTGTGATGCCTCTTGAGGCCAAAGCTTAAAAGTGGCGATTATCACTTTCATTTTTCCAATCTTGCAGCTTTGCATAAGTTCTTCTCATGGCCAAACTCTAAACCAAAACTGCACAAGGAAAGGGATTCTGGAAAATGTAATTTCTAGCCTTAGACCCATGTGGCAGTGGTGGAGGTGTGGTGGTGGTGGT